TGAACACAGACAAGAAACAGTGGATGACGTCGATGTATGACGCCATCAAGGGAAAACGTCTGAGTGAATTGGTCATACCAGGCACACACGACAGCGGCACATTCGGCATTTTGTCGGACGACGGGTACCTAGTGGAAAGCTCATTTAATGTATTCTACGATCTGGGTTTGCCGGAAGTCCATCTGTGGTCGCGTAGTCAGCGGGACAATTTTACCATTCAACTAGAATCGGGGATACGCTATCTCGATCTCCGAATCGTTGCCATACCGCAAAGTGGGTCTTTTTACTGGTGGCATGGTTTAACTGGGGATAGAATTGAATCCGGGCTGCAAGAAATAGCCAATTTCGCACAGCATAATAAGGGAGAAATTTTAATACTTGAGTTCTACAATTTCGTTCGTCCAGGGGACCGCGATCATAACACTCTAACAATGAACGAAACGGAAAAAACTCAGACGAGTGACCTGATTTACAAATACCTTGGACCTTATCTTGTGCCCTCGTCGTTGGCAATCAACCCAACGGTAGAATCTATTATAGCAACAAACAAGAACATATTGGCATATTTCGGTGACAGTGATGTTGTTACGAAGCACAGTGATGTGTTCAGAAACGACATAATTATCAATGGTTGGGACGGCCAAACTAACACAGAGGGCCTGTTTATTGATCGATCAAAGAAACTCGAACATTTTCATGATCATCAACCCAATGACACGACGCTGATTTCCGGCTGTGTTACGCCATCTACAAGTAACGTAATTGGAGGCATGTTATTAGCGGGTCTCTTTCCAAAAGGGCTGCAGAATTCTCTCACGGAGATCCAGTTGTCGGCACTCCTCGAAACATACGACAGAACCGCATTGACATCATTGGGATCAGATTTAGCTAAACACATGGGATTTGAAGGGACGTCGTTTGATCTTCTTGATTTGGGTAACAAAACAAATACACTGGGAATGAACGCGCGCGATAAGAAATTGTTTTCCAGCGTAGGGTCGGTTCATTTTAAGGGAACACGTGACATGATTCGTTATTGGTTGGCTAGACCTAATTTATATAAGCCGAATATTATAGAAGTTGACAATTATCATACGAGTGATGTGGTCAGTCTCGCGATACTTGCTAATGATGCTCGAATCCCGCGTGAAGTTAGTATTAACTTTCAAGGTAACACCCGTGATGGTTACGCGAAGAAAGTTTTCGATATTTTTTATACTGGCGGGGATGAGGGGCTTAAGTGCAAATCTGTGTTGACATCATATGATATCATTTCAGCTACGAAGGGTGTTCTGGTAAACATGTCACGTATTCAGAATCACGAAAGTCTAATCATAATCGATGGCCAGTATCCGATTGATAGTAACATTACTCTGTATGTAAGCAGTTCTGGTAGTAAACAATGGTATGAAATATATCATGGAAATATACAAGACTGGATAATAAACAACCATGATATCTACATCCGGGGATCTGACACTGGTAATGGGTCAGGATTCGCTTACGTCAGCACGAAATATAATGACTTCGGACCGAAATGTACAGAAGGATTAAAAGCAGGCGT